CTGGAGCATGATGCCCCAGGGAGGGCATAGAAGTTCCATGTCCCTTCCCCTTTACCTTGCCCTAAGTCTCTCTCTTCATCTACACCCTTTACAATATCCTTTATAATAAACTCGTAAGCATTAAGTGTTTCCCTGAGTTCTATGAGCCACTCCAGCAAATTAAATCCAAAGAAGGGGTTGTGGGAACCCCAACTTGAATGCAGTTGGTCTGAAGTTCCAGAGGCCCAGACTTGCACCTGTTGTGGTAGGGGGTAGCCCTGGAGACTAAGCACCCAACCTGTGGGATCTGACACTATCTCCAGGTAGATCGTGTCAGAAGTGAATTAGAGCAGCTTGTGTCTGCTGCTTGGTGTTTGGGGAAAAACCTCCACACATTTTGTCACAGAAGTGGATAATTATTGTCATATGGGAGTACAGAAAAAACACACAGAATTTTCCCTACGCAGGACTGTGTTGTCAAAACTTACCAAGTACTGTATTATATATGCTGATTCTTACATGAACAGTCTACTCAATATAACCAGGGATTATCTTTATAGCTGTACATGTATTTAGATTAAGCATTTAATGTGTATTATCCAACACATTTGCCTATTATCCAACACATTTACCTACTTTATATTTTCTGCTAAATTTATCAAATTTGAAACTGATATTCCTATTTCATAAATAGGAAACATCTTCTTAACAGAGTTAGGTAAGTCTACTCATGATTTAAGAGTTTTTCTTATGTTTAAATTTCTAGTTCTCCTAGAATTTTTTTCATTATATTTAATGATAAAGGATAAATAGCTGATAAACTGGTATATCTAAATTTCATTTTTCTCCATACTTATAACCATTCTCCTAGTGGTAGTTACTAGATGATTTCTTTCCTTTCCTAGGTCTTTCACTTGGTCTCTTTGCTATATACCGAGATTACATCAATTGGGATCCAACAGCAGCCTTTCAAACTTATAGCCTATTTAGCCTCTCTGGAGTATCTGATAATGAGGAGGAAGCACATGTTGAAAAGGAATCAGTTGATCCGCTCCTGAATTTGATACTGATGTAAACTGGGAGCCACTCACCTTTCTTAATATTAATTTCCTCTCCCTCAAATGTGAGGACAGAGAATGTATTCCTCAGGGTAACGTTAATCCTTATAAGCTATTTCAAAGTCACCTCACAAACTCTAAGACCACATTTCCCAAATTATCTTCCTTAGAAAATTAGTTCTGTATATTGCTTTCTCACAAAGGGTTTGAGAGTTAAGAGTTACATAAGTTTGGGAAATGTTGCATACAATACTCAAGTTTTAGAGATTTAGAATGCCCACTAGAACGTTAATGAACTTTGCTTATCCCAAAATTTCCCAAACATTTTAAACTGTAGACCCCAATGACTCCTCCTTTATTTTCTTAAGGTGCATCTATTATTTAGCCTAAGGAGCTGCTTTCCCATGAAACGAACTGCTAGGATGTCCCACACAAACATGCAGATGTCTTTTTAAAGTATTGATTAAAGAGTCAGGGGACCTCTCTGGATTCTCATTATTTCCCATTGAAGCTGGTACAGTTTTAAAATCTCCAAAGCTCCCATCCATGCTGGAGAGGATGTGGAGAAACAGAAACGCTTTTACACTGTTGGTGGCAGTGTAAATTAGTTCAATCATTGTGGAAGACAGTATGGCAATTCCTGAATGATCTAGAAATAGAAATACTATTTGGTTTAGCAATCCCACTACTGGGTATATATCCAAAGGATTATAAATTGTTCTATTATAAAGAACACATTTGACATGATTCTATGTTCTTAAAAAAACAACTTGTACAGGGAAGTAAAGTCATTAATTCCATAAATAATATGAAGTGCCAATTTTGATTCATTTCTGGACTTCCTATTCCCACTGTCCTATTTTGATACATTACATCAATTATTACTCATTTCATGTCATTACATATTAGGATTGTTTTAAAGTCGGCTAAGCCTCTGCCCCAGTGTTGTTGTTTTACTTGTTTTAAATCACTGCATTTGTTGCAATTTTTTTCCACATAAATTTCCCTATCACTTCCTCAATTTATGCAAACTATATTAGAATTTTAACTGGTATTATACATTAAGCCATGTAGGACATCTTATTTTTAAAATAATTGGTCTTTACAGGCAGGAAGAATAAAAGTTCTTTATTTCTGATATTTAACTTCAGCAATAATCGTCACCAACCTATTCATTCATCCATTATTTATCCATATTCTTATGTACTATTATATTTCTTCGAAAGCCCTTGATTAATATAGAGTATCAGCAAATTAATGGTTTTCCCTACTCCTCAATATTCATACTTCATTTTTTCATGGCTCATTACAGATGTCCAAAACTGTCTTGCACACAAGTGGTGACAGAGAGCACCTAATTCCCTTCTATTTCAAATAAATATCCCTTATTGCATTTTTGCTTTTGGCATTTTACAAGAAATGAATATTATATGTTATTAAATGATATAATATGTTGATACATTATTTTAAACACCTTTCTTAGTTAAATGATTAATAATTTTTCTTATATTAAATTGGTTTTAAATTCTTGATACTAACCTTATTTGATCTTTGGTGAACATATTTTGTAATGTGTGGCTATGGTCTGTCAGCTAAAATTCTTATTTAGAATTTATTTACCTGTGGGTATGTAAGTGTGTATGTATTTTTTTTAAGATTTGGAGATAGGCCTGTGGTGAACTTTATTTTGGGCTAATCCCTGCTTCTCGTAAGTGACTTTTCATACACTTATCACCTAGTCTATTGTAATTTTGAGAAACATAACCATAAGGAGACAAAATAATTAAGAAGGCAAAGTTATATGGTTTTTTGCTTTTTCATCAATTCCATATCATCAGGAGTAACTAAATAAAACGTATTTCAAAGAAAGAAGTCAAATTAAATTACTGTCATTGCCCATTAATAAAAACAACAATCCCAGTCACATAATTTAACAGGGAAGACAGAAAGATGATAGATTCATTGCCTGACTACACTGGCATAACTCACTTTAACAAAAATTATCATATTTAATAATCAAAAAGTGTAACCATTTATAGCTAAATATTAAACACATGATTAAGGCCAACTCTGAAGGATTTCTAATTCATCCACTTGCTTATTCACTATTATACATGAAGCACTACGCTAGGTGCAGGGTCATTATAAACAAGTTTTCTGTTCTTTTCTTTTTTTTTTTTTTTTTTAAGATGGAGTTTCACTCTTGTTGCCCAGGCTGGAGTGCAATGGCATGATTCCAGCTCACCACAACCTCCACATTCTGGGTTCAAGTCATTCTCCTGCCTAAGCCTCCCGAGTAGCTGAAATTACCAGCAAGCATCGCCATCCCCAGCTAATTTTTTGTATCTTTAGTAGAGATGGGGTTTCTCCATGCTCAAACTCTCGACCTCAGGTGATCTGCCCACCTCAGCCTCCCAAAGTGCTAGGATTACAGGCGTGAGCCACTGCGCCCGAACACAAACAAGTTTTTTCTTCCAGAAACGTAAAAGCTAGTACAAGCACTGAAAAACATTTTCTGTAAAAGGCCAGATGACAATATTACAGGCTTTGGGGGCCCATACAGTCTCTGCTGCCAACTACTCAAGTCTGTCACTGTAGGGCAAAGAGTCATAGACAGTATACAACAAATGAGCATGGCTATGGAAGAAAACTTCATTTACAAAACAGGTGGTAGGCCAGATTTTGCCCATGCACTCGTTTGCAAACCCATTTACTAGTGGAAAACAATAAACTAACTAGCAATTTCAACCTTATGTGACAAATACAAACAGATGTAAGCAAAGTATGGGAATATGACCTAAGACAATCAAAGGCTTCTTACGAGGAGGAACAATCCAACTAAAGACTTCGATTTCTCAAATTCAGCAAATAAAAGTAGCTTTTTATTAAAAAAAAAAAAAAAGCTGTGTAACCATTATAAAACAATTCAAAATCTCATTCTGAAAATGTACAACATACTTGATTATAAAAGAATTGCTTTAATATATGATATTCTCTACTGTTTCTCAAAATTATACCATAAGCACACTTGAAAGCTTACCTCGAGTGACTGTTTTGAGAACAATTAAGGTTGATAAAAATCTCAATGGCAAACTGGAGCTCTTAAAGAAAGCAGCTGTCTTTGGTTTATTCTCCAGAGAATGCTCTAAAGAACTATCCTGGATCCCTTTAGTTACCACTCCTTTGAAAATGTCTTCACCCAATCTCCTCAATGTTGATGTCATAGTCGAGTGCTGTTAAAAATATGTACAATCTTAGTATAATTATTCATGTTCAGAATATATATCTTTTTTTTTCTTTTCTTTTTTTCTTTTTTTTTTTTGAGACAGAGTCTTGCTGTCACCAGGCGCCAGGCTGGAGTGCAGTGGCACGATCTCGGCTCACTGTTGCAACCTCCGCTTCCTGGTTCAAGCCTCAGCTTCCCAAATACCTGGGACTACAGGCATGCGCCACCATGCTCAGCTAATTTTTGTATATTTAGTACAGATAAGAGTTTCACCATGTTGGCCAGGGTGGTCTCAATCTCTTGGCCTCATGATCCACCCGCCTCAGCCTCCCAAAGCGTTGGGATTACAGGCATGAGCCACTGCGCCTGGCCTTTTTTTTTT